GAGGAGCCTTCTTACCCCACCGCAGACGAGGTCTAGAGCCCACTTGGGTACGGAGCGCTCTCAAGAGAAGACATCGACGAGGACCTAAACGACGACGATGACTGACATTGTCCCTCTCCCCACGTTGAATTTGTTTCGGGTACCACCCACGGATCTGAGTATCTCGAGTTATCGTATGGTACCCATTCATCCTTTCACCACGGGCATCAACCCGATCGATTTTCAGATCGATCCGCAAGAAGATTACATCGATTTGTCTCGCAGTTACTTCGAACTTCGAACTTCGAACTGGAATGCAACATTGCACACTCCCTCTTCAAACAGATCAGCGTGCGACTCAATGGTACGCTCATCAGTCCTCAGACTGATACCTACCATTACAAAGCTTACATCGAAACCTTACTGAATTTTGACAGAGACGATGGAGACACCATCTTGAAACCTCAAGGTTGGTTCAATTTTGTCGATGTGCCAAATGCCTTGACAGCTAATCAACTGACTTTGGGACACGATGATTTCAAAGCTATGACCCCGGAAAGACAAGACCTAGTGCGTGAGCTCAGATCACAAGCCACTGACTTTGCTGGAGGTGTCACGCGTACTTACAGCTTCATACCCCACATCGCAGTGTTTCACCTCAGCAAACTCTTGATACCCAATGTGCAGATTGGTATCCAAATGTACCTCAATTCACCGGATGTGTGGATGTTGCAAATGCAAGGTGTCAATGCCTTCCGTCTCAACGCTGCGGATAACAAAGTGAAATTGTATCTTTGCCAAGTGAGACTCAACCCGTCCGTCTACCGAGAATTGATGAATGACATGGGAAGTGGAAGAAACATGGTCAGTTACCCCACGGTCAGAAGCGAGATCCGGACCTACAACATCACCCGAAATGAGTTACATTATGAAATTACCAACCCGTTCCAGAACCGGTCACCCAACATGCTGGTGGTGGGATTGGTAGCTTCCACAGCCTTCAACGGTGCAGGCACCGAGTATCCCTTCACCTTCCAGTAATTTAATCTGACCAGCATCAAACAAGTGGTGAGAGGAGAAACCTATCCCATGAAGCCTT